ACGGTAACGACCAGGCCTGTACAGAGGACGTCGACTGGAAAAAAGGTTGGCCAAAATTTACTGCGGGAAGAAGTGCAAGAACACACGAGGCTTGCTAATTCACAAACCAAGGTAGGTTGTCGACCATAGGCCCCTCGGCAGCAGCGCACAGTTTTTCCAGCTGGTGAGATGCGGGAGGTCCAAAGTCAGGAGATACACCACAGTCTGAGGAGGCACAGGAAGATACCACGTCTCTGGTGGAGGAGGAAACACGTGTACCAGTGACAAATGGACCGGAAAGCAAAGATCAAATTAATGACAATGAGAAATGAAGCCAGCATGACGATGATCTGGGCTCCATCCTGGACTCTGCACTACAAGGGGGCGCAGAACGAAAGGTCAAAGCTCTTCCAAAACTACTTTTTCCACTAGAAAGTTGTTAAGAAAGTGAGGGAAGAGAGCAGAGGAAAATCCCACCAAAACCTAACAGAAGACAGGTACATATAGAAGTAATACAAATAAAGCAAGAGCTTAAGGTCTGAAGAAATAACACATGAAAGCAAACACAGAGGAGAGAGAGAGGTCTACGCCAACTTAGGGAAACCTTACGAACTCCCCTAACAAAAAAAATTCACTATAGTAAATCAAAGTTTTTACTATAGTACATCAAGGTATATTTACTTTGATTTTCAGATCATCATATTTATTCTTTCAAATTTCTACAAGTAATTTTCTTGTATTAAAAAGAAATATTTTTTGTATACTATAGTATTATGATATAATTTCAAAAGATTTCATCACTGATATGTAATTTAAGATATGATAAGGCTCTAAATTAACCAAAAAAATCTAGAGTAAAGTTTCAGAGTAAATCAAAGTATCAAAGTGTTTACCATATTTAACTACAGTAAACAATCGTTAACTATTAGTTAAAATCCCTCCAGAATGCGGAAAGATCAGGGGAAAAGTGGAAAACTCCAGCAAGAAAAAGAGGAGCTTTCATAAAAGATCTAAATAGATTCACTAAAGCAGCTTTAGATGGAGAAAAGATAGAGGAACAACTAAGGGAAAGCCATTCAGATCCCATGAAAGACGGCCCACTTGGAGAATACTGGTGATGAATATATGAAGCAGAACAACCATCTTTACCGTTAGATTGCAGAGAACCAACTTGGAAAGAAGTCTCAGACGTGGTAAGAAAGGCAAGTTCTAGATCAGCTCGAGGTCCAGTGGAGTTTCATACAAAGTACAAAAGATGTGCCCAAATGTTATTGCGACGACTCTGGAAGTTTTCAAAGGTTATATAAAGGAAGGGGAACCTAACGGATGGTTGGAAAACAGCATAGGGTGTGATGGTACTCAAGGAGAAAGATTCCAGTCAAATTAACCAGTTCAGAACCACATCGCATCTGAATGTGGAGAGAAAAATCTTTTTTGCAGTGTGGGCAAAGATCATATATGACCTGCAACAACTACATAGACACTTCAGTGCAGAAAAGAGGTATTCCCGAATTTCCAGGATGCTTAGAACATACCAGAGCAATCACACGGCTTATCAGGAGGCCAGAATTAACCAAGGAGACCTTACAGCTGTTTGGTAAGACCTGGCAAATGCATACGGCTCTATACCACACTCGCTTATCATGAAGGCAATCCAGCACTACCATGCTCCTGTCAAGATCCAGAAAATCATCAAGAGTTACTTTAATGGAATCTACCTGAGTTCACTTTAGGACAATTCACAACAGGGTGGCAGAGGTTGGAGAGAAGACTGGCTGCACCATCTACATCATCTTTTTTTTTGGGGGGGGGAAGAATTTCATCATCAAAGCAGCAGAACGGGAACAAAAGGCCCCAAACCAGCAACAGGGACTCGATTAATATCAAAGAAAGGATTTGTGGACGATATAACGATAACAACAATAATACACGTCGAGGCACGATTGATACTAGAAGCATAACATAGACAACTACCTCTTCAATAAAAATGGAACTTGGAAAATTTTCTTATCTTGTGATTGTTTATCAACAAAATTACTTTGTTAAAGATCACTCAGATTCTACACAAAAGTACTCTAAAGTTGATATTAAAAGGATGCTGGAGTTCCTTACTGACAACATTTTTGTAGTCTTCGTAGACCAGGTCTTTCAACAAACTGTTGGGATTTCTATTGGGCACTAATTTTGCTCCCTTATTAGCTGACATGTTTTAATATTCTAATGAGCAGAATTTATTCTACATAAAAAAAGAAAACACTTGTTTTGGCAATCAACTTGAAATTCAGATATATCGACGACGTTTTCTCAATTAATAATAGTTACTTCCATTCATATGTCGACTCGATATACCGGGATCCCAGTGAAATTGAAATAAAAGTTAACACAGAGTCTGTCACATCTGTTTCATATTTGGATGTTTTATTGACTATAGATGATAAGGGGCAATTAACGACAAAATTGTATGACAAATGAGATAACTTCAGCTTCTCCGTCTTCGACTTACCTTATTTATGTAGTAATATTCCGCTACATGTGTACTACCTGCATATGGTGTTTATGCTCCCAACTTATACGATGCTCAACAGCATACTCTGAGTACGATCAATTTTTAAATCGAGGCAGGCTACTGACAAATAAGTTGATGCTACATGGATTTCAACAACCTCGTTTAAAGTCAGCATTTCGTAAATTCTGTGGTCGTTCTAATGGCCTTGTTAACAAATATAACCTATCATTGGGTCGTATTTTGGCTGACGTGTTTCAAATCAATCGTTAGGCCTTTGTTTTTATACTAAATTTGACCACGGAATGTCCCGTGTACCTGATCAAAACATAGGGTTCACGGGTTGACCGACCAGCAGGGGATGCTAACTCCTCCCAGGCACCTGATCCCACCTCTGGAATTTCCGGGGGTCCGTGTTTTATGCCCTGTTCACAGATTTGTGTTGTGTGTAGATTTTTTTTTTAAGATCGATCACTCTTTTTTATCTTTACCGTTTTCATGACAAGTAAGCTGGGCAAGAATGAAGTTCAAACCACAGAAATCAAGAAGCTTAATTTAAAAAAAGGGAAAAGTCACTAAGAATTTCATACTGCTGATACAAGGGGAGGAGATGCCATCTACAGTGGAAAAACCCGTTAAGTGTCCTGGATAATGGATAATGGAAATTTGAAGCCTGGATGTATCAACATGGACTACTGCTTAGGCTGCTATGGCCATTGACTCTCTATGAAGTCTCCAGCACAACACAATAGATCCGTCAATAAATTTTTAAAAGATGGCTAGGTGTCCTACCATGATTCACAAGTCTAGGACTGTACAGTTCCTCATCCAAACTCCTACTGCCAATATCATCCCTGGTAGAAGAATTCAAGGTGGCAAAAACCAGGCTATTTCTGACCCTGCGAGACTCAAAAGATGAGAAGATTCAAAGAGCAGGAATAGGTGTAAAAACAGGGAAGTCAGTCGGTAATGCAGTCCATCATGCAGAAACATTCAGATATAGTGGGCACTATAGAAGAGGGAAAACAGAGCTTTAAAGCACAGAGAGAGAGAGAGAGAGAGATTACAAAAGCCAGAGCAACGAAAACAGGAGGCCAAGGCACATGGACAAGAAGAGCAACAATTGAGAGAAAGTTAAATGAGGAGAAATCTGGCGGATGGAGCCATACCGCATCTATTTCGTACTAAGATCTGTCTATGATCTGCTACCATCACCAACAACCTGAACAAGTCCTTATGGAAATACTGAGCTGCGAGTTATGTGGGAAGACAGGAACTCTAAAGCACATTTTGTCATCTTACAATGTTGCTTTATCATAAGGCAGGTACAGATGGAAACAAGACCAAGTACTGAGAGAGCTAGCAGACATTCTATATAAGGAACGAAAGAAGAAAGGTCAGAAAAGATATAAACAATTCATTAAGTTTGCTAAAGAGGATGAAACATCAAAAATTGCTAAAACTCCAGAATCGATAATCCATTCTTGAAGCAGCTGCTTCCTGGGAGTAGTTGGAATAATCTGTGTCTGTGGACAAGCCCCTCACCACAGTTAGAATATGTCCCATATACTTGCAATGTAGCAAATTGGATCGGATCCGCTCCGAACTGATTTAGAAGAATACAAAAGGAGTTGCACTGAAAATAACTACCAAATTAATCATAACAAACCTTTCTGAGATTGTATATGCCTTTTAACCTTAAAAAACTATCCATAAACATACGAAAATTCAACTCATTTTCTCAGCGTTTTTTCTTCGTTTTTTTTCCTCGAACTCTCTCATGTCTCTGGATTGTTCATAGAAAATCACAGAGTTCGACTTATCGCCCGTGTTTATTTTGCTACATTGCTAATACACGGAACGAGTTCTATAGTTAAACTGGGTCCGTAGGACAATCACAATATCATTTTAACGATAGAACGTTCTATCTGTCCTGGGAGATGCGGGCGGACCTTGGTATTTCTAGACATTATACAGACAAAACTCCGCCCCGACAACTTATTATGGTCTTATACCAACAAGAAGATTATAATGGTTAACTGTACCCATGGAAGAGAGATGTGCGGAGGCCTACCAGAGAAAGAAAATAAAATAACAAGATCTGGCAGATGAAGCACGCAACAAAGAATGGAGAGTATGGATATTTCCTGTGGAAATTGGCTGCAGAGGATTCCCTGTACAATCCATCTGGAGAGCCATGACAGCTCTGGGAATCACAGGGAAAGGCAGACTAACAGGAATACAGAGACTATCAAACACAGCAGAAAAGTCATCTTGCCGGTTATGGTGGAAAAGAGAAGAGATGGAAGCCATCTACAGACGAGCAGTGATTTGACCAATCACTGCTGACTCCCCATCCTGAGGACATTCCAGGTTATGAGTCAAAAGGAAGGATGAACCTGGTTGATGACGTCTATGGATCCAGCAGTTACAACATCCTGACTATTAGGTACAGGTGTATCAGCACTCTACATGATTATCACTTATAGCATTGCTTGAATCCCTTATGTACATTTACCTTCGAAGGTTTTGGTGCTTTGTAAAATGGCTGTATATCCGTCGGAATAAGAAGAGGTTTCAATATATTTGTAGTAAGTTCCAGAGTAAGCTGAACTTGGACCAGTGCCAGCAGAGCCTGTACTACCCTATCACAAAATAATATTTAATCTTGTTTTGATTAAACAGGTTAAACTATTCATAATGTACTTCAAAAGGTTAATTCCAATTATAAATGTAGTGTGTATTCAAAGTTATTTTCAAATTTCATTTACCGACTTTTGTGTCCAATCGAATGAATCTCCTGTTGATTCGAACAAAAAACATGATGTTTCACCGGTCTCAAAATCACACAAATCTGAAAAATATTGATACTAGTAATTGTGAAGGTCAAATAAGTTATTTTGCATTTCTTCATTTCATGCAAAATATCCTCTGTCTGTTAGGCAAAAAATAAGAAAAAGTATAGGAAGTTCACAACTCCAATGGCAATTAGTTTGTTTTAATGAAAAATGAACTAACATCAAAGTTTTCCATTTCAAAGATGATAGATAGATTATAATGTTATAATGTTATCTATTACCACAAAAGCATGCCTCCTTATGCGTAAGGACATACATGTAGGATACTTGAAAATATATTCTATAGAAATTTTGAAGATATGAAAACAAGTTGTACAGACTTTGATATTGCTTAAACACAGATTAAAATATAAATTTTGGAAAAAACAAACTATCAAGCCAGCTTTATTTTTTACACTTTCCGCAAATATAGTATACTTTAATATCTGTACTAAAATCCATTCAAACACATGATAAAAATGCAGCGAGCACAACACTGAGTGTTTGGTCGGGCCGCTCCATTTCTTCCTGTTTCTTTGCACAAATGAAGTCCACTGTCTTAAAATCTGTGGCCTATCGAAGGGGAAATAGTGCAAACTAATTCCACTAGTCTCTGTTTTGGTCATGCTGCAACCTGCAGCTATACATCTTCTTCCCCGAACAGCGGCGGGAGTGTCCTCGGACATTTTTCTATCAGTTTACACACTATATACACACTAAAAAACGAAATCCTACATGGTAAAAACTAAAACTATTCACTACTGAAAACACTATATACACTTAATCCATCTAATAATGTTGAAAACACGAGAAAATCTACTGAATGCTACGATATAATTCTTTCTCTCCTCTATCTTCGATATGGCGGGTACATGTTCTGACGTCACGGCGATCTGGGTAGCAAAAGCGCGCGTTTTAATAAACCGTTCAGGTGTGATTTCGGGTTTTTTCACAATATCTCGTGTAATACACGACATACTTTGATGAAATTTTTGGAATAGTTCTATTTTTTCATGAACAATTGAATAAATAATTATCGTTTTCCACTGCAGGTACCCTTTAAGAAATAAAAACTTACTCTAATTTTACCATGTTACAAATCAATTCATTATAAATTAATTTGAAAAACAATATTTTCTTTAGTCCAGATTAGTATCACCCTTGATCGTTGACACTGTGACCTCCAAATTAAAAGAGGTCATTTACTCCTTAAGGGGAACCAGTGATCAAAGTTTAATGGCTCTAAAACAAAGGACTCTAAAGATATTGACCGGGGACAACGCTTCGTCTCGACATATCGACAGTCATACCAACCAACCAACGACAGGTGTAAATCAACGTGCCTTTCTTTTTAAAGGGTCATAAAAATTACCCATCCAAAACCCTCACAAGTAGCAAAGAAACTTTTTTTATTCACAGATTCTGATAAATATATATTTATGTAATTTTTTAAGAGAGAGAGAAAAGGAAGGAGAGAAAGAGAGAGAGGGAATTACCTAAATAAATTCTTCCGGTGCTCCCAAGCTTCATCAAAATTTTATACAGTTAATCACCCTTCATGAGGTCAACATGGTGAAATGATGACCCGAGACCTGACCCACGAGGTGACCTGACCTGACCGAGGCCAACGGCCGAGGTCAAGTCAGGTCATCGAGTGGGTCAGGTCAAGGGTGATCAATTATTTTATTATACCGACAATAATAATAATAATAAATTTTAACACATATGTAACATTTTATTTCAACAGAATAATGCATATTCTGAAATAACGATTTAAGCGGCAATAAATTTGAATTTGAATGTTCAATTGAAAAGTGAAAAAAACACATCTTAGAATCATTAAATCATTTACAGAGTCCAATAAAGAACTTTACAGTATCTTTACTTTTGTTGTTCTTTTCCCATGTAATAGTGAATGTGCACTTGACCAACATTTTTGAATTATGGGCCACAAGAGTTCTGAGGCGTTTGGTCAACTTTAACATTCTCCTTTTCTTCTGGAACATTTGCAAACAAATCTGAACCATTTTCATCATGTAGGACTTCAGATAGCAATTGTTTGATACTGACAGTTTCAAATTCACAGTTATTCAACTTTAAGAGCTGACTTTCTGAAGTACTGGTACAAGAATTTGTTGGAACAACTGGGTTTTCTAGCCCTAGCTTTGTTGATGGGTAAACCACAGATGACAATACATCAAACATTTCTTGCTTTTTTGTTTCACTTACACATCTTGAATAGCATTTTATGGAAGTTTCGGACTTATGTCCACTGACAGACATGATGTGTCGAACTTCTTTCCCACGCTGATCCAAACTAGTAATACACGTGGCACGTATGCAGTGGTTTGTATACAGAGTTGAGAGTTCGGCTTTCATAGATATTGTTTTCATAAAATTTCCCAAAGTATTATGACCTACTGGAGAATTGTCATACCAAACAGCATCTGAATCGTTGATATGGCGCTTCGGTCTCTGCCAAAAAACTTTCACAATTTGGATTCAGCTTTCCGAGGTATTTCTCCAGACTAGACACTGGACACTTCTCATCACCTACATGGACATATTAATATGAAAAATTGTAAATCAGTTGAATTCATGAAAATTATGTCACATAGACAAATATATGATCTAAAATTAGTTAATACTGAGGTTTACATTAATTTTATTTTACATGTATTTCAAGAAGTATATTACCTGGTATTTCATATATTCTTGCTGAAGATGCATCATAGTCATTCATGTCACTTCCTCTGTGATTTTTGGTTTCATACTGAGCGACATTAAGATAATACCTCCTTCCTTGGCCATCTGTTCTCAAAACAAAATCAGTTTTCTTCATACTTCTCAGATTTCCCCTTCCTCTTCTTCATGTGTAGAACATCACATCAAGAAAAACTTTATATTGCAATCCGTGTGGACTGTTTTCTATGTCAGCATCGCTGATAATTTCCTTGTGTTGAGTGGTTCCCTTTCCAGCTCGTTTGATGTTTGTCAAATTTCGTTTGATAGACGAAAATCTGGGTCATTAATAATGGGTTGTATGTTCGTTCGCCCTGAAACTTGTTCGCCCTTGACGCCGTTCGCCGTAATTCCCGTTCGCCCAAAGTTCGATCGCCCTAAAAATTGTTCGCACAGGGTCCGTTCGCCTTATTTATATTGCAGAAAGTTGAATTATGAACCAATAGAATTTTTTAATAAATTATATGTATATCGGTACATAAATTGCACACGAGAGACAACAGACGTATGCATGTGGTCACTATAAATACCTGTACTATCAAAGACTATCAAAGACCAGGCAGACCAACAGAAATTAACGTCTCAGTCCTTTAATTGTTTTCAAAACATAACGCAGATTGTAGGCTATGATCCCCTAAATTACAGTGAAATTATTAAGTATAGTTAAATCAATTAAGCATGTAAAGAGCATAAAATATCAAATTTTAATTACTTAAGGAGGCTGGGGGTCAAATTAACCATCAGATATAACTTATTTTTTTTAGATATGATATCTTAAGCTGTCAACTATCATTTGGCAAACAAAAATTTCATACATTTTAGTTTTAAAATTTGATCATTTTTGTATATCTTTATATGGAGCTCTTCTTCTAAAGGAGATCAATATAGTCTGAAAAATGGCCACAACCACCCAGCCCTCATAATTAAGATTACGGTAAATAAAAAAAATACTATAGCAACATTTGAAACAAAAAAACACCAAGTCGTATAATATTGAATAAAATTAATAATAAATGTTAATATTTGCTATATACTGTATATATAATAGGGCGAACGAGATATAGGGCAAACAAGATATAGGGCGAAGAAGAATAATGGCGAACGGACAAGAATAACTTACAGATATAGTCTATCTAAAAACGGTACAGTAAACATGAAGGAAAAACGAAGCGGTCATATATTTTCTGCACAGGTCAGGTTCAGCGGTCAATAATATTAATGACCGGTCAATATCTCATACACATGCAACAATCAAGTCATTAAGGGTCATGTGACACAAAAACGGGTCATAAGCTAATTTTAATGTTTTCTAATCAACCAATCAGATTCTTTCATTCTAATTGGAGGTATAATAAATCTGATTATTGTTCTTATAGGCAATATACTTGTTTGTATCATACATATCTTTGATGGAGAATATCAATCTATTCAAGGAGAGTTTTTACCACTACACCTGATTCTCATTCTATAAATAAAATATTTTGTTTGAATAGCAATGGGATATTTAATTTTGTCTAATTTTTAAAATGATTCCAGTATAAATTCCTTCTTTGAATATACAACATTAATATGAATCTTTCTAAAACAGTACCTATCAAAACTGTTCAATAAATCTTGTATTAGTTCACATCCCCCCCCCCCCCCCAAATGTGCTCAATAGTTTCAGTCTCAGTTTCACAAAAAGAACACCCATATGAACCTACTTTCTTAATTTTATGTAAAAAGGAATTTGTTGCTAATATATTATGGTTAATTCGAAACTGAAACCACTGAAGTTTTTTATATCCGGTAGGGGACTAACAAAGCCATGACATATTGAAATTAATTAGTGAAGATACAGCTCAATCGTAATCCGACACCTTAGAGGTAATATCGAATATAAACAATATCAATAGACAGATCGCTGGTGTGAAAAGTATAGAAACCTTTTGTAACATATTATTATCAATTTATAAATAATGATTACAATTAATTACAATCCAGGTACTGAAACTTATACTCTAATTTGTCTTTTTATTTTGAACATTGTATTGATTGACTGTATGCCTTTCAAATACATGTACAATATCAATGTGCATTAAAAAAAAATCACATATACTTAGTATTATTACTATATTTTGGGGACATTTTTAATATTTTCTTTTAACTTGAAATTAAATAAGAAAATCAGAAAATTCTTGAATACTGCACAGGTTTGATTAAATATTAATGCATTCTGACATTTTGAAAATATTTATCTCAAAATGTTGGCAACCATATCAATTATATAAAATCATTATATTTTTGAGAGACAAATTTTTATTCAATTAAAAATTTTTTTAAAAAAATTAAGGATTCTAAGTTGTTCATACTATCGACATTATTTTATTTTTTAAAAAGAAAATTAATGTTCATACAGGCACCATTCACTTTTATAACAAGTTAAGACAACTTTAAAGAAGCGTATAAGTGAACATATTTTTTCCGATTTGGAACTTTATGTTGCTGATGAGTGTTTAATCTTATGCAAATGATACTTTAACAATCGTAAAGTCACTATAGATAAAAATCCTAACACTAAAATAAGCATGTGATTCAGAGTTAGCTGTCTATGTTTTAAAACGTATCACTGACAGGCAATGATGTCAGGATGATGAAGATTAATACTCAGTAGGATCGTTAAAAAAAATCACAAATTAAAAAAAAAAGTTTATAACAATTTTCAGCCTTATTTTTACTCTTGAATGCAAAATCTGAATGTGTTACCATGAATGGTGCACCTTCCCCGTGCTCTGTTATAAAAATATCCTTCTTCACATTCCTAAATAAAAGAAAAATTGCTGTTACAATCATTTTAATTCGCTTGAAGTTTGGACAATAAGCAGTAACGTAAAACATTCATAAGCCATGATAAATAATTATCTTACAATATGATGGCGTTGACATAAATCTTCAGCATTACCAACAGAACCAGTCGGGGTCCAGCCTCTGATCGTTCTACACTGTAAACTCCCGTAACAAATGTCAAACGCGTTACATTCAATGTTTCTCAAACACTTTGGAGCACACAATCCAAAAAGTTCTTCTCTAGACGTTCCTGAGTGGGTAGATATCACCTGAATAGGATCTGGGGCCGATACCTCCCGATAATATTCAAACTGAATGCATTCATTTGTGCCCCAAACCTTACCAATCGTAAAAGCTAAAGAAAATACAATTGGTAGGAGTTGCATTCTAATAAACTTTTTCTTGAACTGAAGTTTTTTCGGGCGAAATTTCAATTAGGGATTGAAGTGAAATATTTCAGCTTTTTGAAAACAGTGCAATCCTATGTCCTATCTCTGTTAGATGATGTTGCTGTGTCATACCAAACAATTGTCCCTCAAGGGTGTACACGCAAACGCATTATATTTAAGTTCGGGAAACAGAATCTCGGACTATTCCCAGTTCAGATTTTATATGATATAAATCATTAAAGGCCGGATAGATTGACAAACTCTTTTTGTATCGGAATTCCGTTTCAATTTACCATTTTTATTATGCCAAGCGATTTCTCACGTGATGTTACTTACGGTACACCAATTCAAAGTTCTTCTCGAATTATTAATGATATCTCCAATTCTGAATTATCGCGCCCATTCAATTCAGTTGGTGGTACGTATTATAAATCAATTTACTAAATTGATAGCTGCAGAACTGTAGCGTTATGGTTTTATATTTAATCTTTGACCATAATGATACAGATCCCGTAATGCAAATATTGTGCAATTTACGGCGCAGGATTTTCAACGCACGGTTGGGGAGAATTTCTCCAACTTTCCAGCATTGATCAATCAACTACCTTTCACTCCCTAATTCTAGACATATTTTTAACCAAACTCCTCCTAACCCTTTACAATTGTCTCTACATACTAGTTAACTTGCTTGTTTTGAATTTTTGTCGGATGGCAGAAAATTCAAAACAAGCCTCATTATTCAAATTGTGTTTTAGAGGAATTTGGATTTAATTCTGCAAGTGGTAATCCAACTTATATCCATAGCTCCCTTTCTAAGGAGGAAATTATTCAAAATCATTTGTCAGTTTGAAATATTTTTAATATCCCCAACAACCACCATGAATTTTTGAATTGCCATATCTATATTGGATTTCATAAAAATGCTTACAAACAAAGATACATAGCGGGTTCCAGTAAATGTTCTACCAAGCATCTTTCTTTACTCCTAACTAAATCACTAAAATATTAACAGTACTGAAGGAGAAACTTCAGGAGTGCTGTGCGACAATATATTCGAGAAGTGGTGTAAATCAGATGTGGATACTTAAAAACTCCAAGGGACTTTCGGAAAATTTGAAATCACAAAATGTTTCCAAAATCAACAACATAAATACTTTAGACTTTTCAACTTTATATACAATCATTCCCCACGATAAATTGAAGTCCAGGTTTTTTGATGTCATTGTCAGCTGCTTTTTCAATAAAAATGGAACTTTTGAATTTACTTACCTTGTCATTGGTCATTTGCAAAATTATTTTGTTAAAAAACATTCTGATTGTACACACAAGTACTCTGAAGTTGATATTAAAAAGATGCTTGGGTTTTTTCTGTTGACAATATCTATGTGATTTTTTGGAGACCAGGTCTTTCCAACAATCTATTGGAATATCCATGGGTACCAATTGCGCCCCGTTATTAGCAGACTTATTTTTGTATTCATATGAACCAGAATTTGTTCAAAATCTTCTACATGAAAAGAAGAAAACACTTGCTGTGGCCTTCAGCTCGACATTTAGATATACCGACGACGTATTGTCAGCTAACAATGGTTATTTTCATTCTTATGTCGATACGATATATCCCAGTGAGCTTGAAATAAAAGATACCACAGAGTCTGACACATCTGCTTTATATTTGGATATTTTACAAGAAAAAGACATTAAAGGGGCTTGGACACAGATTTGAAGTTTCTGTATAATATTGTGACTTATATTTGCTATAGCATTTCACACGAAAATATGATTTAAAAAACTTATTTTATCTGGAAATTATTGAAACTACACGAATTTCAGGACGCGTTTGATTGACACATCATTGCACTTTCACAAACTACACTTTATCCTTAATACTTAAGAAAAGTAGAAATTTTTTGTATATCAATGAAAAGTATAAAAACTGTAATTCAGAAAATTCAGATTAGAAAAGTGAGAAAGCAAAACCAATTCACCATGCAATATTGTCAGTCCGTGCGCAGTGATGTGTGTAGAGTTTAACAAATTGAACACACCGGGAAACATAAACTGTTTTTGTAAAAAGGGCACGAGCTCTGTTATTGTTAATGTTTACGATTCGCCGGGTGTGTTCAATTTGTTAAACTCTGCACACATCACTGAACCCCTTTAATTCTTATGCAGCAATACACCTTCATCACCTGCATACGGGATTTATATCTCTCAGTTGATTCTATACGCAAGAGCATGCTCTACGTGTGAACAATTTCTAAAATAAGGTAAGTTAATGACAAACAAGTTGATGAAACAAGAATATCAGCTGTCTCGTTTAAAGTCATCAATTCGTAAGTTCTATGGTCGATACAATGACCTTGTCAGCAATACAATTTATCATTATGTCAAATGCTGACTGACGTTTTTCATACAAATTGTTAGGCCATTATTTACACACTGAATTGTCGAAGGATTTTTCCGTTTTTTCCCGATCATGACAAGGAGCACACGCGGGTGTGACCGGTCGGCAGGTGATGCTCACTCCTCCATGGCACCTGATCCCACCTCTGATGTTTTGGAGGTCCGTGTTTGCTCGATCTGCTCAAAAATTTGTATTGTTTAATGGACTTTTGAGCTTGAATGCTGTTTGTTATTTCCATATATTTCATGATATGTAATAAATCTAGCTATAAACAAATACAAATTATACCAGTACCTGGCAAAAATAGTATTATATTATCTCAAACAAGATCAATGAAAACTTACAGAATTTGCATGGGATATATGGAGAACTATTGAGTGAGCATTAAAAAATTACAGATTTATGTATTTGAACCAACTTAATTAAACCAGAGACATTTTGGATTGGTTATGTTCTTTTGATATCATAGTATACTGTTATATTAAAATCTTTTTGGTTTAACTTAGTCTTCATATTAAAAATTGGTTATAAACCTCAATTATTCTATTTTCCTCCCCCCCCCAAAAAAAAATCACCTTGAAAAAGTATTAAACCGACACGCAAAACGCGGGGGGGGGGGGGGAGGAGGGAGAATACTGAGTATAGTATTCTGTTAAACTAAATTGGCATTTAAATGTCCCCCCCCCCCTACTTTTTGTAGCTGTAGGGACGCGCACTTACAAATTCAGGATTTGAACTTTTTTCTCTTTTTTTGTGCTTATTTTGGGTTTTGGGAAGTTGCCCCCCCCCCCTTTTGGGTAGTTTAGGGGTTTTTTTGGGGGGTGTCCTAAATAGATGACTTAGTAGGCAAGGAACTCCCTCTCGGTAGGTATGGGGGGTTCAAAGGAAGCATTTTTGCAAACCTAGAGATCTGCAATTTTAATTTGACCAGTAAAAACAATATTGTAGACATATTTTCAGTTTATATCGTGATATGAAGACCATTTAACAAAACTGAGAACTCTTTACATATCCCTATACTCTGCTCAGAAAATATGAAAACTTCCTTACTGAATAATCAAAATTCGAACAATACGTTTAATTTCCTACTAACCAAATATATTTCAAGTTATCAATTTCATTTCCTGCACTTATTGCTTTCGATGAAATTTTCTGATACAGACATAATATTAATAACACTTAAACTTTGGCTAAAAATTCCAGCTATGGGAATAGTTTTGTCCTTAAATATAAAGCAAAACTGTTAACATAATCGGATAGGTATAAAAGTGCGGATTGCTAAGAATGCTTTTTTGGCATTTGCAACAAAATAAAATTAATAAGTACGATTTATTATCAACTCCCCGCCCCTTTATTCAACCAAATTTTTATTTCTGAGAAATGATGTGTAGGCTATAGCCTTTTTGCCTATATGGAATATACGCCACTGCCGAACATATGATAGTGTTACATTAAAGTTTTAGAATTAAGAGAATTTAAAACTAACTATAACAATCTATTGAAGTTCAACTCCCAATAGCACATTATGTACTTTGATTAGATATTATTGTTTGAATCGCTGAAATTTTGGGCGAGGCAGTTCGTCATAGGGAGGACAAACTGAGTGACGAAAACCGTTTTATGAGGCTGAAGAGGCTGAGGAGGACACAAAACCCAAATTTGAACTCTACATTAAGGCTTCAAGCATTGATGGAGGAATGAAAGGATCTTGTCCAATCTGCCAGCAGTGGTTCATGACTGCCTATATCTCTTGACTGAACAGAAGAACGCAAGCTTTAAAGTTTTCACAGTTCAGGCAAATATTCAAAGACAAGGTCCAAAGCAGAATATTCCCAGTTGTGATCGGAACAAGTGGGCAGAATGTCAATAGCCAGGATATAACTGACATCGTGTATGACAATTATGATGATGTGGGAAAATTCTTTGAGAGTAAAAATGTTAACTGTCCTAAACTGTATAGAACACAACAGGCCAATACTGCTATTCTGAAAATATTTGAGGATTTATATAAGAATTTTAACTTATTCTTACAAAACCCTAGTTCTGATGGGAAGAAGTTATTGCATGCATGACCTTAGAAATTTGAATAGTCATTTGGAGATGAATGAGACCCCATTCTTGACAGGATCAACCCTGACTTATGCTGACTGCGTTTTACTGCCAAAACTACAGCACATACGGATGACAGGAGAGCAATACAGGGACTTTAAAATCCCAGAGGAGTCGACGACGGCCATTTGGGATTACCTGGAACGTGGATGCCAGACCACAGCATTCAGTGCCACTCTTCCCTCAGATTAGGACATCGTCAAACACTACGAGATGAGGGCTGCTGGGAAATGCATCAAGGGACAGCCCTCATTACAGAAATAGACATATACAATGACTGTCCCAAAACGTGTACCCACAACAACAGTCAATGGGGGTGGGGAAGGAGAGGGATCAAATGGTATGGATGATGGCGGGGAATAAAGAAAATGTACTGCTTATGTGATGTAGAACATGTATATTTGCATGGTGCATTAATTATTATGGTTGGTTTCAAACTTCTAGCCTTATGCAAGTTGGAGTTTGTGAGGGATGTGCTATAAATGTGTAATATTCCGGAAATTTATAGTATGACCATTCGGGTTTAGCTGTAATGTTGCAGATGTAAACTTCCGTGTTAAAAGGTATATAAAGGCTGAATCCCGGTACAGACAGTCCTTTCTAGTGCAAGCTGTGCCAAGTATAAGACCGCAAAGACGTGATAGAACATAACAGTGGTAAGTGAGACTATAAAATAAAGTCAGCTTACAGAAGAGGTTGTCCTTATGAGAAAGTAAGGTCAACAAGAATAGTTATAAAAAGGCTGTTGTGTTTCGAGTGGCAAGCCACTCAGAGGCTAACCAGCAAGGGAGGTTAGCCACCTGTAATTCGTCTAATTGACCTGTCTGGCGACCAGGCTGTTGTGCGCAGTGTGTCTGCCTGAATAAGGCTAGCAGTGTGCACAGCAGTTGAAGGGCTGTCACTTGTACTGACTGTGTCCTGAATAAGGCTGCAGTACAAGCGTCAGTCCGAGGTTGGCCAGTGAAAGGGATAGTCTACCCACTGTAATTAACACAATCATTTGTAACAAGTTGATTAATTATTTCATATTGTCGTGATTATTAACCTAGATAAGGTTAGGCCATATTATTTGTATATATTTGCAGGCCTTTGTTGTCAATCATTTGCCAATCATTTATTAAGAAAAATTGTTATATCGAAGTCATCCCCAAAACCTTGAAATGACAAGGTACGACCCCCGATAGAAGCTAACATTCCGCTCGACACGTTACAAAATTTGGTGGCAGCGTCGGGATTTGGGGTGCTTGATTTTTTTTTCTTTATAATTTGTTTGTTAAATTTCGTAGCTACCGATAACCATTGTTCTTGTTTGTTAGTATGGATAGCATGGATGACCTTACTAAAATTGAAAGAGAGCTAAGTAAGATTCAGGCTAGCTTATATGAAGGTAAAGCAAAGAACGTCAGAGATTCAGGTTTACCTGAAAGTAGGCGGACAACCTTAGATGATGAATATTATGAGGCAATGGGTGCGAGACCTAAATCTGTTAGGACGACCACTCAACCTACTGATATATCTGAAAATAGACGGCCTGATACCAGCATTAGCGTAGATGGGTCAGATGACAAGGCTCCAGATAGGTTTTCCTTTACAAGCACACCATATGTTAGAAATAGGCAAGATGACCCTCTGTTTACAAATATTACCACACGCCGACCTAATGTAAGGACAAATATTGATCAGCACAAGGGTAATCATGTAAAGCCAGACAAGTTCGATGGCACTACCTCATGGCTAGACTTTAAATCTCATTTTGATGTATGTGCTGAGTTGAATGGTTGGTCGACCTCTGAGAAAGGCATGTACTTAGCTGTTTCCCTACGAGGTCGGGCACAGGCGGTGCTTGGCAGTCTTCCAGAAGGAGAAAAATGTAACTTCAAGTTATTATCCAGATCACTGGAAGAGCGCTTTTTGCCACCTAACCAAACAGAGTTGTATAGGGCACAATTACGAGAGAGGAGACAGTGGGCTTCCGAAACATTGCCAGAACTTGGGCTGGACGTACGCAGGCTGGCCAACCTAGCGTATCCAACTGCCCCAACTGAGGTTAGAGAAACCCTTGCGAAAGAGCAATTTATTGATGCTCTGAAGGACAGCAACATGAGAATCCGCATCAAACAAGTCAGGCCAGTTGATCTGAATGATGCAATACGCCATGCCGTGGAGTTAGATGCATTTAACTCTGCTGAAAGACGTCTTCAAGAAGATAAGGGTTATTTGAGAGAGGCCAACCAGCCATTAGAATCGGACAAAGACACCGTGACTACGCTCATCCAGATTTTAATGAGAGATTCATCTTGGATACCGATGCCAGTCAATATGCAATCGGCGCGGTATTGTCACAGGTAAAAGATGGTCTTGAACGACCAATTGCCTTTGCCAGCAGAAGCCTTTCCAAATCCGAAAGAAAGTATTGTGTTACCCGAAAAGAGCTTCTGGCTGTTGTACACTTCATCAAGTATTTTAGACATTACTTGTATGGCAGACAATTTACGGTAAGGACAGACCATAGCGCCCTAAGATGGTTGATGAACTTTAAAGACCCTGAAGGGCAGCTTGCGCGGTGGATGGATATTTTATCCACCTATGACTTTACAATTGAACATCGGCCAGGTAGATTACATGGTAATGCGGATGGTCTGAGTAGAGTGCCATGTAAACAGTGTAAAGTCAGCCATAATGAATCGACTTACCAGACTGTTAACAAGCTTGAGGCTGAAGACATGTTGATCTTAGAGAAACCTTTAAAATGTCTTCAGGATGAAGATAAGGATATCAAAAAGGTAAAAGATTGGCTGGAACGGAGGAAACAGCCGAAAAATGATGAGATCTTGTCCGAATCTGTTGTTGTTAAATCCCTTTGTTCTCAGTGGGACCGACTGGTCATTGAAAATGGAATGTTATATAGAAGATGGTCAGATCTTATTACAAAACAGGATACATTACAAGCCATTGTCCCAAAGCAGGAACGATGGAATGTTTTGAAACATTACCATGACTCAAGGACAGCAGACCACCTTGGAATTCACAAGACACTTGCGAGAATCCGTCAATCCTATTATTGGCCAGGTCTCCAAAGAGATGTTCATTCTTATGTTGCCGGCTGTGAAGTGTGCACCAAGAGAAAAGCACCAGGACAAACCAACAAAGCTCCAATGCATTTAGTCTTCACGGGGTATCCAATGGAAAGACTGGCAACTGATCTTTTAGGCGAACTGCCAATGACATCCAATGGAAATAAATATATCCTTGTTGTGGCAGACTACTTTACAAAGTGGACGGAAGCCTTTGCATTGCCAAACATGGAGGCAGAAACTGTTGCTACAAAGATTGTCGAAGAAGTCGTATCAAGATTTGGAGTACCAGCTACGATACATTCTGATCAGGGTCCGCAGTATGAAAGCAATCTTTTCAAAGAAATGTGCAGACTGTTGGACATACAAAAAACCCACACCACTCCGTACCACCCACAGTCGGACGGAATGGTGGAGCGGTTTAACAGAACGTTAACAACAATGCTAAGTGGTTTTGTCAATGAGCACCACACTGATTGGGATGTCCATCTTCCCTTTGTAATGATGGCATATCGAAGCTCGGTGCATGAAACAACAGGAATGACACCAAATATGATGATGTTTGGGCGAGAGGTGTCGACACCACTGGGTTTGATGTATGAGATGCCCCCATCAATTAAAGAGGTGCCAAACAATAAATGGGCCTGGTATTTACAAGAACGTCTAGAAAATGCTCATAAATTTGTGAGAACAAGAATGAATCAGGCGATGGTCAGGCAGAAACATTACCACGATCGGAAATTGAAATGGCATCATTTCGAAGCGGGTGAAGAGATTTATGTTTTCTTCCCAAGAAGAAAGCCAGGCACATCACCAAAGTTTACAAGTTATTGGCGAGGTCCATTTAAGGTGGTTAAAAGAATGTCCGACTTGACATATCTTGTCAATTGCGGTCCGAGGGGATCAGATCAGGTTATCCATGTTGACAGAATGCGCAAAAAGCATGCACAAATTTTATCAGGTGAAAATGACGAACCGTTGCCAACATGTAAAACTCCTGACGACTCTGGTCCTATAAATGGTGATGTTGATTCATGCATTAATGAAGAACTACCAGTGTCTCATCGCCCTAGTAGAGATCGCAAACCTCCTAGTTGGTTGCATGATTATGAAACAGATTTGTAATTATCTCTCTAGTATGCATTTACAAATTGTATTAGGAAGCTTATCTAGTTTTTATATATGTATATTTTTAGTGATGGCTAAAACTAAGACAACACCAAGAAATGAATATCGGCGGTGTCCAATGTGTTCGGAACCTGCAAGAACAGAAGAAGAATTCAAGAAACACATTATGGTATGCGCCATGAGAGTTTTTGAGTGTCCAACCTGTGATTTTACCAACACTAGAGAACTCAATCTCAAGAGACACATCAAACGATGTCATCCTGGCTTAGGACCTAATGATGAACTTATCAAACTGGGCGCAAAAGAGCAAAGTAAGGAGAAGGCAGGTGGTTCGTTGAATGAAAAAAAACAAAAATGAGGAAAGCGCAAATGAAGATTGGTTGGACCAGGACCCTGGTGAAGTTATAGGCGAGATATCCTCTGCAGACTCATCGAGTAGTAGTAGCTCAAGTGATGAGAATGAAGAAGATGATATTGATGAGCAGAAGGAGAAACAGGATCCGGAGAAGAAAGAAGACAATCTGTTAGAAGGAAGACTTTTCCGTAAGAAGACCCAACCGACTTTGCCTTTTGCAAGAAAAAGACCAAGTTTGGAGGAGATCCCTGTTCCAAAGAAGATTATTCTTATGGACAAAGCAACCCAGGTTGATATGGAACCAGCAGTTCCCCCTGTAGAGAGTAGTGGAGTCGACGTTTATACACAGACATCCCCAAAGAAAAGAGAAGTTGTGACCAGAACGACAAGAAAGTTTCGTGAAGGAGAGGCAGATATCAAAGTTGTTGCCAAAGAAAGAATGATTTATAACTGACATGTTCCAGTAACTTCAATGGAAATTATATTTAACACAGATAGTGTTCATCAGTTTTGTTTGTTATTTTTATTGCTGTTCTTGTTTTGTTGCTTATTTGGTCAACCATATTAATACAGTTTTGTCGGAAAAAAAAAATTTGTTGATCAATTGACTTTGCATGCGGGACGCATGTCATCGGAGGCGTGGGTAGTGTAATATTCCGGAAATTTATAGTATGACCATTCGGGTTTAGCTGTAATGTTGCAGATGTAAACTTCCGTGTTAAAAGGTATATAAAGGCTGAATCCCGGTACAGACAGTCCTTTCCAGTGCAAGCTGTGTGAAGTATAAGACCGCAAAGACGTGATAGAACATAACAGTGGTAAGTGAGACTATAAAATAAAGTCAGCTTACAGAAGAGGTTGTCCTTATGAGAAAGTAAGGTCAACAAGAATAGTTATAAAAAGGCTGTTGTGTTTCGAGTGGCAAGCCACTCAGAGGCTAACCAGCAAGGGAGGTTAGCCACCTGTAATTCGTCTAATTGACCTGTCTGGCGACCAGGCTGTTGTGCGCAGTGTGTCTGCCTGAATAAGGCTAGCAGTGTGCACAGCAGTTGAAGGGCTGTCACTTGTACTGACTGTGTCCTGAATAAGGCTGCAGTACAAGCGTCAGTCCGAGGTTGGCCAGTGAAAGGGATAGTCTACCCACTGTAATTAACACAATCATTTGTAACAAGTTGATTAATTATTTCATACTGTCGTGATTATTAACCTAGATAAGGTTAGGCCATATTATTTGTATATATTTGCAGGCCTTTGTTGTCAATCATTTGCCAATCATTTATTAAGAAAAATTGTTATATCGAAGTCATCCCCAAAACCTTGAAATGACAAGGTACGACCCCCGATAGAAGCTAACATTCCGCTCGACACGTTACAAATGTTTGGGACGTTCCCTTATACATGTTATATATGATGCAACTGACCAATCAGGAAGCTTTAATTTGCATGTAAAGCCATCCTTGGGAAATACGTGGCACATTTAAAAACAATTGTGTGGTGTTAAAGAACAGAAAAAGAAATTCAATTATATTTATATTTTTGCTATAAATTCACATTTGTGCATCATGATTGTGCATTTTTGTAACACAAGTTGTTTGCTCTTATATCAGCAAAAAAAAAAAAATGTATACTGTAAAATTGATTTTATTGTTTTTAATGGGACACTTTCCAACATAGTGCATGTAGTGAGGTGTATATTTATGTTCCCCAAACGAAGTTTGGGAACATATTGTTTTTACTCTGTTTCTTATTATTATTATGTTCCCCAAACGAAGTTGGGGAACATATTGTTTTTACTCTGTTTCTTATTAAGGTCTTCCGTTTTCACGGAAGACCTTATAGTGATTCTACTGTTTCTTATTATTATTATTATTATTATTATTTTTTTGACCAAATTTTGTGCAGGCGTTTTCTCGAAAACTATTCAGTGGTTTTACGTGAAACTTTCAGGAAAAATTAGTCATTGTATGAAGTTTGTTCATCACAAGGAAAATTTGGAAAATTCCATTCTGGTTCCAAGTTACGGGCAATTTCCTGATTTTTAAATGGAATGTTGTCCGCGAATGTTCTAAAGAACGGTTAAAGATATGAACTGGAGACTTATTGGAGAGCATAGAACGTGACATTTTAATTTGTGGAATCGCCTTTTCGTTCGTCGTCGGCACTTCCGGTCGTGTACGGAAGTGATCAAAGAAATCGTAAAATTTCAACTTTCCTTTTTTGAATTAAATCCTATATCACATTATTGCATCTTTTGTGTAGTTTCGAAATATGATGGTCCCACCGGAAACAAAAACGTCAACTTCCGGCTATAAGAGAAAAACTACATAATTGAAGTATTTTTCTTTCCATTAATATCTTTTGTAGATAAAGTATTTGAAATGAATTTTTAATATGTTATTCAGACAGCAAATATCTAGAGTGACCTCAAATATCTTTCAAAAATTCACTTCCGGTCGCGTGTTTTTCTGTCCTCAAAATGAGAAGTTGTGTGAGCAAGATCTCGGAAACGGTAAGAGATTAAGACACCAGACTTATATGAGCAACATACCTTAAGATGTAGCCAAAACCACTTGGGTTCAGAGCGTCAGCCGTCACTTCCGGTCGTCACGGGAAGTGATCAAAGAAATCAAAAATTTCAACTTTTCTTTTTTTATTTAAGAATTGCATCACTTTATTGCATCTTTTTCGCAGATTCGAAAGATATTGGTCCCACCGGAAACAAAAACGACAACTTCCGGTTATAAGAGAAAAACTACAAAATTTGCGTATTTTACTTTCCTATAAATATTCTTTATACATAATGTATTTGTTATGAATTTTATATATGTTATTCAGAATGCAAAGGTCTAGAATAACCTCAAATATCTTTCAAACATTCACTTCCGGTCGCGTGTTTTTTTGTCCTCAAAATGAGAATATTGTCTGAGTGAGATCTCAAAAACAGGTAAAAGATTAAAACACCATACTTATATGAGCAGCAGACCTTGAGGAGTAGGCAAAACCATTTTGGTTAAACGCGTCAGTCGTAACTTCCGGTCGTCACAGGAAGTGATCAAAGAAATCAAAAATTTTAACTTTTTTTTTTTAAATTGAAGTTAGCATCACTTTATTGCATATCTTTCGCCGTATTGAAATATGTTAGTTTCCACCGGAAACAAAAACGTCAACTTCCGGTTTTAGATGATAAACTATGTTATTTCGATATTTAACTTTCTCATAAATATTGCTTAACGATAAAGTACTTGAAATGTTTTTATGCATTTTGTAGATACTGCAAATGTATAGAGAAACGTCAGGTTTTTTTTTTTTTATAAAATTCACTTTCGGTCGCGTGTTTACCTGTCCTCAGAATTAGAATTTGTTCTCACGATATTGCTCGGCAACAGTAAACGACTGAAGTCTAAAACTTTCAGAACTGATAGTCAGTCATCATTTTATTTGATTTGCGAGGAAATCTTGTATCGTCGTTACTTCCGGTCGTGACAGGAAGTGATGCAAAAAAGTGAATGGTTAATGGTTAGCACGTTGGATTTCACGCTGACAACCAGGGTTAAATCTCCAGAGTGTCTGAATTTCTTTTATCACCTTTTCAGCTTGGATTTTCGTTTTTATTTTCAAAATCAGACGGAAGACCTCTCATTGCTCGCAATGAGTTTCTAGTTATTATTATTATTTTTCTTCTTCTTCTTCTTCCTGGGTACTTTTTTGTCCGCGAGTGATCTCGTCAACTACTCATCCGATTGAGGTGAAACCTTTTTAGAGTTAATAGGCATGTTTTGTAGATATGCGGAATCAAGGTCATTTTGCGCGCACGTGCATGCACGTGCGTGCGCGTGCAATGCGTAAAATGACCAATATACTTGATATAGCTGTAACTTTTATATTTTTTGATGAAATGCTTTGATACTCAGAATATAAGGATATATTAGAAGTGAAAACAAGATGACATGGTCAACATGCACATGCATGCACGTGTGCGCAGGCGCAAAGCGTAAAATGACAAATATACTTGATATAGTCGTAACTTTGATACTTTTTGATGAAATGCTTTGATACTCAAAATATTTATATATATTAAAAGTGTAGACAAGATGACATGGTCATCATGCACATGCATGCATGCATGCATATGCATGCACGTGCGCGCGCGTGCAATGTGTTAAATGACCAATATACTTAATATAGCCGTAATTTTTATATTTTTTATGAAAAGCTTTGATATTAAGAATATACAGATATATTAAAAGTGTAGACAAGATGATGTGGACATCATGCTCATGAATGCACATGCGCGCGCGTGCAATGTGTTAAATGACCAATATACTTAATATAGCCATAACTTTTATATTTTTTTTATGAAAAGCTTTGATACTAAGAATAAACAGACATATTATAAGTGTAGACAAAATGGCATGGTCATTATGAACATGCATGCAGGTGCGCATGCGTGCAATGCTAAGATGACCAATATACTTGATATAGCCGGAACTTATATATTTTTTGATGGAATGTTTTGATACTGAGAATATAAAGATGCTTTTATAGTATAGATGAGATGACATGGTCACCCTGCACATGCATGCACGTGCGCACGCGTGAAATGCAAAAAACGATCAATATACTTCATTGCCTTATTTAATGAAGCTTACAGGAAATAAGACACCAAAAGGGTGTTGGGGAGCGTTTGGGGAACATCTGTAACGGTCCCCGTTACAATTATAACTAGTTATTATTAGGGTCTTCCGTCTTCAGCGGAAGACCCTTCTATTATTGTATTGTTTCTTTTTCTTATTAGGGTCTTCCGTCTTCTGCGGAAGACCCTTCTATTATTCTATTGTTGATTTTTCACTTTTCTTATTATTATTATCATTATTATTCTTTTTTTTTTCCTTACCGATTTTGTGCAGAAGATTTCTCGGAGATCGCTCGATCGATTTGCTTCAAATTTTCAGGGTTAATGCGTTGGTATCTGAAGTTTATAACGCCTTGTCAGTTTTTGAAAAATCACTTCCGGTCAGAAGTTATCGCCCTTTGATCGATTTTTAGATAGACTTTGTGTCTGCACAAAAACTCAGGAACGACAAATGCTAGAGTGTTGAAACTTTCAGTGGTGATAGAGGACATGTTCTAGATGTGCACCTTGGTTTTCATATTTTCCGGAAGTGCAAAGTATGGAAGCTCGGTAGGGGTCAAAATTTAGGACGTGATTTCTGAGTGAATTTTAGATACATTTCTGATAATAACATTTTAAATAGAAGTATTTTGTTAAAACATATTGAAGAAAAAGTCTTTAAAATCACAAGACCTTTCATTTGATATCAAGAAAAAGGGGCTGACCCCTCAAATTAGGGGCTCAGAAAGGCCAAAAGTCTTTCATCTATAACTTTTTAATGATCAATATTTTGTTATAAACTACTGAAGCAAAAATGTTTATCTTAACATTCTGTAGCTATA